ATAACTCATTGTTGGATTTCATTTGTTTTCCAATGCCTTTGAATGGTGTCGGGATGGCCTTTAGGCAGTCCTCACTGCCATTTTGCATATCTGTTCGGGTACTTTGCTTAAGCACTTGTTGCTTAACGATTTATCTATCACAGAATCATTGGGCAATTTAATAATTGCAATTATGCATGATGTGATTTTTTGTTGTTGTTTTTTGTTGTTGTTTTTGATGCACAAGTATACTTGCCACAAAATGTATCTCCCATAAAGTTGATTTCGTGACGGCGCCGACAACGATGATGGCGACCTTCACACGCCACAAATGCGCAGCTAGCCTCAAGCAAAGGTTTTGCTTATGCATAAATATTTTTATTACTGTGCACAAATTCCAAGTAAGCCGCAGCCATATCTATGAATATGCATAGATACAGATACAAATGTAGATGCACATGCAGATGCCGATGCAGATGCAGATACAGATAGAGACGATCCTAGACGGACAGAGGGTCAGCTGGGTAGATGGGTAGATGGGCCCGGCCCGGTCCGGTTCGGTAATCGCGGTCATAAAAAGTGCAACATGGGCGATGTATCGTGCGGGTATTAGCGGGATTAGCGTACGGATCATAAAACCCCAAATAAACAGTCCGCACTCGATCTGTAAACTCATCGGCATATTTTTAGCCTCAAATTTGTCAATTGCTGATTACGGATTGTTTGTTGCCTGAACGTGTTCTCGCTGCATTGGTCAAATATTTGAAGACTTGGAATGTGAAATTCGAAGCTATAAATAGAGACGAGCAGGCGGTAGGGGAGGGGAGGGGGAATGGCAATCGAAATGTAAATGCAAGGAAATGGGAAGTGGAAGTGGAAGGGAAAGGGAGCCGGGTAAATACAAATAATGAGAATAACGATGATGAAGTTGACGATGCCAATGATAACGAGTATAGTATAGTACTTGTATGTTCAAAATGAGACGAGTTTTAAATTGAAGCCCATTCTCTGATTTCCAAATCAAATTCAAAATTAGCTTAAGTGAGTAACTTGTGTGCATAAACATACTCACACAGATGCACAGACATACACACACATACACACATACAGTATGTACATGCGAGTACGTATGGGAGAGACCAGAACTTTCTATAGAAGTCGCTCGCTTGATTAGTGGGCTCGACCTTAGACGACAGTCGTCTTAAGTATGCGATCTTCCAAGTACATTTACATACATATGTCTTTATTCCTTTGTATTTGCATTTGTATCTGTATCTGTATCTCTGTAGCCGTGGCTTGGCTTGGCTTGGTTTGTTGCTATCGGTGGGTGTATTTTTTCCCCATTTTTTTCCTATTGCCCTTTGAATACCCTTCCCTGGCAACGAGGCAATCATCATCAGCTATTGCATCATTTTTGTAACGCACTGAAGAGAGAGTGCTCGGAAACAAGCTCGGACTAGACAAGCATCAGCATTACAAATCAAAATTGTAGAACAATACGTATGCTCTGCGAAGGCTAGTGGAAGCTCTCAGGCAATGGGAAAGTGAAGCAAACACTTTCTTAGAAAACAGAAAATATTAGGAAAATACCACCTCGGGCCGCCACTATAGACGCTAACTTCAATCGATATCTGCGCAATTCGAACATTTAGCAATAATCAAAATATTTATACACCTAATTCTGTTTTTACACGGTCTTTTTTTACACGACTTTGATGTGAAACGGTTTGAAAATTAAAAATTGGATATATATTTCTTTGGAGATAAGGAACCAATCACCTATTTTTGCATATGATCAATGTCTTTTTTACACGGTTGTTTCTGGAACCAATATACCGTGTAAAAACAGAATTAGGCGCACACTTGTCTGTAAAATTAAATAAACAAGCCATGTTGTTGCCATTAAATAATAGAACCCAAGTATACAATTCTCAGCCAACCAATCTGAAAGCGAACATGCCCAGAGTAGGGTCACACAGACAAACAATTTGTACACAAATTAATCGAATTCTCAAGTATGAGTTTGTCTGTAATTAGCAAAAGCAATTCAAGGATTAATTTTGATAAGGCCTGCTGGCAAATGATTTGCCCGTCTGACCACAACTGTGTTAAGTATTAGGAATCGGTTGTTTGATCAGAGACCAGTTAAGAGTTTTTCTTAGGTTTCATACCCACTTTTTTGGGGTGTGAACGTGTCTTTGTTGTTTCTTAGCATTGTTCTTCTGAAGACCTCACTCCAAGAGTATACAATAATCTGCGCTGGGCTCGAATGTTGTTGCAGTTGGCGTCACATTCAGCTAATTTGTTCAGATTTTGTAAGCTGTAAGCTGCTTATGAGGCTCAACTTTTGGTCACTTGGTACTGGTACTACTCATATATGTACTGTACATGTATTGCTCTGTTCTTTTCATTTGCATTCAATTGCTTTGTTCATTACTTAAGCAAACGAGCAGCGACTGAAATTTGCATGAAGTATATACAGACTGAACTTAAACTTAAGTTGTAGTTGTTTCCTTTTTGGTTTTGGTTTTGGATTTCTTTTTTTTCTTTTTTGAGGGCCTCAAATGGAATTTGCGATGGTTCTTACATTCCCGATTCCTGTACAGTTGCCACGCGGCAACCTACGACGAACATGTACGCGTACGCGTACTCGTACTCGTACATTGGCCAAGACGTTGACCATTTAAGTGCTAATGACAAAATTGCAAGCACATGAGCTTGTCGTTGCTGTTGTTATGGCAGTTGTTGTTGCATCTAGATGTGCGTGCATTCTATAAAAAGATCAAATGCAGCCTTACAAGGATGCGCAGGCCAGCTAGCCCCCTAGCCACCTAGCCAGCACGCCAGCCAGCAAGCCAGCAAGCCAGCCAGGCAGGCAGCCACTAAAAGCATTTATCATGCGTACAGCATAGAGTAGCCAAAGATCCAAAGATCCAAGAAGCCAAGAAGCCAAGATCGATCGTTCGATGGCTCGATCGATCGATGGGCAGAGCAGCTTAGAAGCCGCAGTAGAGATGTTGCTGTTGTTGTTATTATGGTGGCCCGTGATTTGTGGTCAGCACAAGTCGTTGGTAAGAGAAAAGCAAAAGTAAAATAAGACAGCTGAAGAAGTTGGAGTAGAAGCGTTTGTTGCGTGGCTCGATCAGTGCAGACAATAATAGCAACAAAAACAACAACAACAACGACGACGTCGTCTCTTTGATTATGTTAATGATGTTGATACGATGATGCACTTAACCTGGCCGCTCCCCTGCTCACCTCTTAGGTTTGGTCTCTTGTCTCAAAGTTCTTTTAGTTGCTGTTCGAAATAAGTAGATACATTTTTTACTCGTTTGGCTTCTGCCGGTTTTTCTAGCCGCTGCCGCCACCGACACCACCACCAACAGCACCAACAGCACCACCAGCACCACCGCGAGCGCCAGCAACGTTGTCGTCGCCACCGCAATTAACAATTTTTCTTTCATACAGTTAAGCTTCGCCAAAGCGTATTAGCGAGCATGTCACAAAAGTTTCAAGTTTTCAAAGCAATTCGCCTTAAATAGCACGGTTTTCCTTTTTCAGATGCACTTTCGAACGGATCGTTTGAGCAACATTTTATGATATTGTCGAGCTATTTAATACAAGCTGTAATGCCATTGCTAACGTTTTGACAATTAAAATAATAACAAAAAAAATAAATAAACTTGACAAAATCACTATCGAATTTATGAAATAATTAAGCAAATAGTTGGCATGTTGGCTTTCATAAAAATCTTCAAAGCTACTTTTCATAAAAGGACAACAAAGCAATACAACTGGATACAGAGTTAGAGATCATTCAGAAAATCGAAGTGCTGGAACTCGAATTGACAATAAAAATAAATAAATAATCAAGTATCATTTTTGAAAAGCCTTTGAACATAATTCTTTAAAATGCAATTACCCAGCAATTTAAATGATTTTCTGCCATTTCAGAGTATTTTGTAATGTTTAAGAAACGAATTATAGAAAATTCAGAAACTTGCAAGAAGAGCAACAAATAAAAATTAAATGCTTTAGTTTTGAAGTGAAAAAAGCTTGGTTTTCTAATGAGGGAAATATTCAAAAAACATATATGGAAGAGTCAAATGCGTGGCTTAGGGAATTTTGTGATAGGCAAGTTCAACTGTAGCATCATTCACCTTAGACTAAAACGTACTACAAGTATGAAACTGATGCCAAAGCTGAGACTGAGACTGAGACTAAGACTGAGGCAGAGGCTGGGGTTGAGGCAGTTGCTCCAACTTGGCTTTGGCTCGGCTCGACTCGGCTTTCTGATTGCTGATATTATCGATGCGGCTTATAAGCCACATTTGAAAATCGTGTTTCATTTAATGGCTGCTGATAGCGCGACTGGAGTTGTTCCTGCTGTTATGGCCGGGCAATCGATCAGGGAGCGATCGATCGCTGGTGCCCGGTTATAAATAGACGGCTTGATGCTTGCCCGCCCCGCCAGCTGCTGTTCTGCTGCTCTGATCTTCTGATGTTCTGCTCCTCCATATCGCCTCCCGAAGCCTTACAAATTGCTTCAAGCCGCCGCCATCAACATCGCCTGCTGCTTAAAAATAGACGCCAAATCGATGTCTATTTATGGTGAAAAGAGGAGCTTGCAAATGCTCTTCGATCGCTTAGAACTTTGACTAAAAATAGAGTCCTGCCCAGGGGATACGGGGGACGGGCGCAAGGGACAGTATGGTATGGAAGGGCACGTAAGTGTGTGTGTGTGTGTGTGTGTGATTGTCGCGCTAGCTGCTGCTGCTGCTGCTGCTGCTACCTCTGCCTCTGCTGCGGCCACCACCATCGGCATCGCCATCGCCATCGCCACTGTCGCCGTCGCTGCCTTTGTCGTTTGCTCGTGCGCCGTCGTCGTCATCGAATCGTCTCTGCCTCTGTCGCTGCCTCTGTCGCCGCCACTGTCGCCGTCGCCGTCGCGGCCGCCGACATCGGAGCGTGTATATAAACGCCTCGACGCTGTGCCAGCCACTCAAAGCGTTTCTTGAAACTGACCGGTGAGAACACGGGCCAGTCCTCCGACAGAAGCAGCCTCAGCAACGGATTAAGAACCGAACTTAATTATTTATTAAAATATTTTTTTTCAATATACCCACATCGTTCTAAGTTTTTATTTTGTGCCTGTGTTTCAGGATTTTTGTGAACAAATCTAACGCAACGAACATTTAAAGAACCCAAAACCAAAAGTAACTCACCGTTACGATTCAAAAATTCAAAAAACAAAGCAAACAGTTGTGTGTGGCCCATCAATATAAGCGGCCAAAAGCTAAAAAACCAACAACAAACAGTTTCCTTCTTCAAATCAAAAACGACAACAAAAGGTGCACCGATTTTCTAGGTGAGTATTGCAAACAAAGCATTAAATGGTTTGTAAATAAAATCAAATTTAAACATAAAAGAAAACTTGAATCCAAATGAATGACCGAAAAATGACAAAAAACCCAGCTTAAAAGTTGTTTAAAACTGACATCAATTGATGAAGAAAATTTAAGGAAAACGTATATGTGTTCAGTCCATTCATTTTGTTAGTGATCGATGAGCATACTATATTTTAAAGCATTTATCCTTTAGATTCATTCCATACGTTCTTTCGATCTCTTAAAAATTACTCGTACAGTCCAACAATCTTGAGATTGCGTTTGAACCAATTGATCTTTGAATTGACATTTTAGCTACAGACTTTGCATTTCGAATAAAAAACTTGAAGCAATAATTCCTTTAAGGCGGCGGCACAGTTCTTGTAGTTCTTGTAGGGGACACGGAACATTTATTTGTCAAGTGCCTGAAATTGGCAGAAATGTTCATTTCAAGTGCAGGCCACTTTCCTGCTGGGTTGGCTAGATGGTCCTGCCTTATCTGCATCTGCCGCATCCTCGCCCACGCCTCCTCCAATTTCTCATCTCTCCTGGCATATCGATTTGCATTTTGTGTGGGCGCCCCCGCCCACTTTTTTTTTTCTTTTCGATTACTTTACCTTTACCTTTGACTTGGCGTTCGGCTGACTTCGATTCCCAACTTCTTTGGCTATATGGCTATGTGTGTGTGTGTGTGTGTGTGTGCGAGTGTACATATGTGCATATGTATGCATGTGTATGTGTGTGTGCGTACATGTGTCTTTGGCTGTCTGTTGCGCATTGTTGCAGCCGCATGAGGTCGCAGACGAAACAAGTTTTTGGTCTCGTTTTAAGTTTTGCGCATTTATTTGTTTGGTTTTTTTTTGTTTTTGTTTTTGTTTTTTTTTTTCTTTTTTAAAGCAGCTCATAAATTACAAAGATTGTATCTATGAGTTACATTTTCTGTTGTCAGCTGGCGCTTGTTAGGCTTGCCCGCAATCTACATGCATAAATATACATAAGTATGAGTATAGACGTTGCATGTGAATTGCATAATTGCATTGAACAGGCGCGCAAAATGATTTACGACGATTCGATGGCAGAAAAAAAAACCGAGAAACTAAGTTCCCGCGACGAGCATCACGGGGCTCGAAAATTGAAAGACTGCGAGGATCACATTTGTTTGGAGGATATGTGGTTGTGGATGTGGCTGTCCACAGTCTCAAGTTCAAGGAACTCCAGCCGATTCTGTTGCTTTGTTTTATGGAGCTGGAAAAGTAGATACATAAGTACGATATACGAGCATACTCGTGTATGCAGATACATATGTACATATATGCATATTTATGTGTGGGTAAAAGCCAATCAAGCTCCATGGATGTACGCTTTTAATTTATGCACAAATTAAGAATACCGTTAGGCCAGTCTCGAGACTTGTCTTCACACAACACAATTAGCATACAGATGTAGAGAACCGAATCGAAGAAACACTTAAAATTAATGTGCAGAAGGAAATGAATGTGAGCGTCATAAAATTTGCAATTCTAGAAATCATGTTTTTTATGTTTTCAAAAAACTAACCGTAATAAGAGATATGGAGGGAGATACAGATACAGGTACGGGTACGGGTACGGTCATATGCATAGTTTTGTGGATAAAATACTGTTGAGTGGGAAAAAGATTAGCATACGGCGCATTAGCATAATCAGTCGGAGAACGAACGCAAGGAAATGGAGATAGGGCTTTTGGGCATTACCAGAATGCGAGTGGAAAGCTTTAACGATTGATTAAAGAAAGCAACACAAATGGATAGGAATTAGCTACACTCTCTTAAGCTATGAAATGAACCCATTTGTTATATTTCTTTCTTTTTTTTTTTGTCCATCCTACCAAGAATTATGTTCAACATCAACAAACAAATCAAAAAAAAAATGCAACACAAGTGGTTTGCATTAACGATTCTGTTAATTCCATGTTACAGGAATGTGTTAGTTAACAGAGCAGCAGCACCACCCGGTTGAGTATTAACAGAGCTCTGCTAAGCCGCCCATAACAGTGGAAAATATCACTTTATTTATACATCTAAAAATTGATATTAATTTGGATTTTTTTTTTGCAAACTTTTGCTGCGATGAACTTGCACATTCAACCGGCAACACCTACAATGTATGGAACATATGGGGGGATTGGGTCGAACAATGGGACCAACCGTTGCCGGTCAAGTCAATTCAATTAAAAACTTCCGTCCATCTTCGGCGCGAGCGCGAAATAGCGCCAAGATTTGACTTAATCGAATTAAAAATGAGATTTGCACCAGCCGAGCATGTGCCGGGGGGCCGGCCCGTACATGGACTGGGGTCCAAGCTGCGGCTGGGGCCATTGTCCAACGACAGTCGGTCAAACAATCAACTGATGTTGTAATATTTTCAATTGCCATCATTAGCATGTTTCTTGCGGACAGTTTGACGGGCACGCCTGACCTTTTGACTGCTTGCAAAACCAACAGACTAACAAACTAACTGGTTGACTGACTAACTGAGCAAGCGTTTGACCAAATGGCCAATTGGCCAACTGGCCAAGTGGCGGCTAGAATTTTTGGGCGCAGCTTAATTGAAAGGCACTGGCACACCAGTTGAAAGACAAACTATACAGGTATATCGCAACTAACTACGATCTGCTCCCCCCTTCAGGTCTCCCCTGCAATTGCAGGGCACATGTCTATACAAGTATCTCATTTGTTTTGTCTTTTCTTGTCTTTGTCTTCGAATTAAAGCACCTCTGATTTTTGCTTTCCTTTTTGTTGCAGCATGAAGTGCCAAATGATTTTACTGGCCGCCGTTTGTCTGGCGAGCGTTTGGGCTCTGCCCGTACCCGATGAGGAGGTTGCCATTCAGCCCGATGCTGGCTCCAAGGCCGAGCTTCTTGGCAAGACCATACAGAGCAACCCCATCGAGCCAGTCCCGGCCAAGCCCGAGCTGGATGCCAAGATTGAGCCCAAAACAGCGGCTGTGCCCACACCGGCTAAGCCCATCGAGAGCGTGCCCGAACTTGCCGCTGCAGCTCCAGCTGCTAAGAGTCCGCAGACCAACACCAACGAGCTGAAACTGCAGGCGCCCGATGTGGAAACCGCACCCGCCATACCCGAGAAAAAGGCCATAATTGAGGAGAACAAAACAGTCGAGAACGTTGAGGCCATTGAGAAGAAACAGGATAAGAAATTGGCCCGCACCGAACAGGAGCAAGAGCCGTTGGAGGCACCCAAGGCCATTCCTCTGGTGGAAGCGCCAGCCGCCAATGCCGAAGTGCAACAACAGGGCGTCGAAGAGGCCCAATCTGCAGTTCTTAAAGCTCCCCTAGCCTCAGGCAAATCCAATGAGCCCCTGAACAGTGAAGCCGAAGCTGCGTCCAAGCCAGAAGCTGCTGCCGAGCAAACCAAGCCTGAGCTGAAGATCGCCGAAGCACAGAACCCTCAAGCCGCCACCGAGCCAGAGCAAAAGGAACAGTCTCAGTCCGCCGAGCAACCAGCCCGTCAGGAACGCATTAACGAGATCGAGCAGAAGGAGAAGGCTGCGGCGCCCATTGATGCGTCCCCAGAGAAGGAAATCAAGCAGTCCGGCGAATCAAAGTTGAGCGAGAGCAACATTCAGGTGATTGCCCCACCAGAGATCAAGAGCGCCGAGGAGAAGAAGCCTGTTGAGGCTGAAGCTGCTGCCACCCCCATTGCTAAGTCCGCTGAATCGACCGAGAAACAGGCACAGCCCGTCGAGCTGCAGAAGAGCACAGAAACAGCTGCCGAGTCTGCGCCCGTGCTGAAGAACATCGACGCCTCCGTGCCTTCAAATGAGAAAGCCAACGAGCAGACCATCGAGCCCAAGGCTGAGCAGCAGGCAGAGGCCGCAGTTATCGCTCCAGAGGGCAAGAAGATCGACGAAACAGCCGCCGCCTCCGCCCCTGCAACCATTGAGAACAACAAGCCGGTTGAGCCGGCCATCAAGAGCCAGGAGTTGACCAAGAAGGAAATAGTTGCCACCCCTGCTGCGGCCGAACTGAAGAAATCATCTGAGGAGAAATCCGACAAGTCCGACAAATCCGAGTCCAAAAACGAAGACTCCTCGGAGTCCAAGGAGTCCGATGAGAGCAGCGACTCCAAGGAGAACACATCGAACTAGAGCAGCCCCGGTCTCGCTCAATAAACCGCTTTCGGCAAAGTAACAGCGGTCAAGCCCACTTTCCCCTCCCCCCTGACTTTCTACGAGCCCCATAGTCGGTGTTCGTCTTCCGCTCTTAAGTTGCTCTTAATATTACAAATCTTAGTTAGTGGTATTTTTAGTAAGTAATCGAGATAGCAACACACAGCAAAAACAACAGCAACAACAACAGCAGCAACAACAACAATAACAGCAATATAAGAACAAGAATGAGAAGAACAGAAATTCGAATGCAGTAATACTTGTAGTTTGGATATTAAGTCTAAGGCCCGCAAAAAAGGTTCAAGCAAAAAATAAATAACCAGCAGAAAACATGAATGGGGGAACCCTCAAACTTATAATTATCATAGCAGTAGCAATAGCAACGGAAACTGGAACAGGAATAACAGAGAAAAGAGAAATAAAAAGAAACAGGACAAACCGCTAAGATGGCATAAAGCAATACTTATAATTATAATTTAATTAATTTAATTTTAATTAAATTTTAGTCATTGCAAAACAACCAACTAAAACGTCTAGTACCCCCCCAATTCCACAAAGCCGCTCCGCCCACCCTCCTTTCCACCTCAAAGACACACACACACACACACAAACTAAATGGAAAAACCGGAAAATTTTGTTGTTTTGCCATCCCACAGCGTTGGAAAACGATTAAATATTTTTTAAAAAAAAAACTTTTTTTTTTGTGAAAATTTATGATAACGCACCTACATTTAATACCGATAGTGTTATGCATATATAAATATATATGATTTTTATATAGACTGAGAAAATTCTTAAATAAAAAACGGGAAAAAATAGAACAACGCCTGAGTTTTATTTATCTAGCGCTGAAGGAGGAACAGAGGTATGTTTCTAAACTGAGGAATCAGTTCTCAATACGACATGGCAAGAGAAACCTAAAGTTGTCGAGAAAAGGATCGATCGATGGACAACAAACTGTCTCAAGGAAGGGTCGCATTTTCCAATAAACTTTCCTTTCAATATTATAATGCAAAAAATACAGATTGGATTTTTCCAATGGACGCATAACCGGACAAGCTCATTGATTTAAAAAGACTTAAAAAAAAAACTTATGGATTTAACTGACAATGTTCATTACTACGAGTTACTGGTTTATAATTACAGCTAACGGCTAACAAGGCAGACATAGCCGATTTATGGGAAGACTGAGCAGTCTGTCAATTGCAGCTTAGACTGCGACATCGCAAGTATGCGGGTATATCGTACTTAGATCAAATGTACGTACAAGTATAAATAAACCAGTTTGCTTAATCAACGTCTACATCGGAGCGTTACGAAGCCGACAGGCAGCAATGCCAAAGTCACAGCTAACTACGCATCTAAACATAGCTGGCTAGGTACACACAGACCCGCGTCTAGAACATAGTTAGCTAATAGAGGCGGGTGTATTATATTATTGTAATAAATATATAACAACAAATTAGATTAGCGTGGCCTGACAGTTCGCAATTGAAATCACGCCTAGCAACACGACAACACCAACATGATTTTCGTCTCGCATCCGCATCCACAACCACATCCACATCAGCATGATCGCTTCATTGCATCGCATCTTGAGAGACAGATTATGCATACCCTGCTTAGTTTTTAGTCACCATCTCTCCTTCACTGAGATACGCAACTATATTCACTATTTTCGCCCATTTCAGCACTCTTGCAAAGATCTCATCTACTTGTATATACGAGCCATACTGTTTCCTCAAAGTTGGAAACAATTGCCAGCCAGTTCCTAAGATTTCTCGAAACTATTTACAAAACCAGTTGTTATGTCACATTGATTGATGGATTGCTTGTTCTTTTCAAAGGTACCGATAGAAAAGGGTAACGTCGTCAAAATGTACAAAATTGAATTGAATTAGTTTTGCAAATAACCTGTTTAGACATGGGAATTATACTTCCCTGTCGGTTAATTTTTAGTGACCCCGACATACCCGTGTAGAAGCAGCACTTTGCAATTAATATTTCTTATCTTTCAGTTTGTACTTTCCTCCCAACTCCGCTCTTACAAACAAATGATGCTGTTTTGTATTTAGTGGCCGCGACTTATATGAGATCGCAAAGTAGAACCAGTCTATAAACAAATTTATAACCAGTCTGTAAATAGTAACAATTGGCAATTAAAATTTGGCCTCGATAAGATATTTCTTGGCACCAAGTGCCGAACAGGGCTAAGTACAAGTTCTGCATTGTTTTGATTTTTGTTCTCACATCGACAGCTCTGTTTGTCGACAAATAAATAAAGTTTACTATATATGTAAATGTACTTGTATATACATATTTCACAGGTAACTCCCTCTTATCACAGAATCGAAATTAGAAATTTGACTCACCTTTTGCGTAAACATCTGGCAGACAATGACGCCCAGAGCCCACCAGTCCACAGCATGGCCGTAGGGTTCACCTTTCAGGATTTCGGGCGCTGCAATGAGAGGAGAAACTGTTTTTACCACCCCCACGTATAAAGAAAATAAGCATAAAATTATAATGCTACTAGTAGGTTATGAAGTGTATGGTGCATAATTGAGAAGAAAGGCGAACAAATAAAAAAACAAAACAAAAAATAACAATGAAACAAGGACAATGTGATATTAACAGATTGAAGAGGAAAAAGGGAAGAATAAAGTATAAGGCGCTTTATAACTTTTTGAAATTTCGTTCCGTTTTTATTTCTGCTTAATTTCGATTTTACAACAGTAATTTAAATTGTAATTTACATCGATCATTTACAAAGTACAGCGTGGACACATCGTAATATACACACATAAATAGATAGGGTGTACGTTCTCTACATTTATATGTTTAATCACTACAAGTACAATCACAATAATATTTATACATACAATTTTCATTTGCTTGCATTTTTTCAGCTGCGTCTCCCTCTGCCTCTGTGCATTCCCTCCCACTCTCCTGCTCTTTTCCTATAAATATACAGATATACATACTATATATCTATATATAGATGTATATATATTTTTGCTATATATTGTACGCTTCCATGCTGAAACAACACAATCTCTCTCCCTCTCCTTCAAGCTTGCTCCTTCTGCTCCTCCTGTCGATCCTCATTCAGTTACATACACATTAGTTACATCTTGATGGGTTATATTTTTTACATTTGTCTCGAATGGACTGTTCTTACAGCTTACAGGTGTTTACAGGTGTTTGTTTATTGTTTTCTAGTTTAATTAGGCTACTGCACTTCATGGAAATGCCCGGGGCAGCGTTTTCGATGCCTTTTCATATAATCATAATCATCTGATCGTCCTCATAATAATTGCTCCTTAACATATACAACTATTTACAACATTTCATCGTCTTCATCTCATTTGATCAGCTCATTTGTAATCTTCTGAGCTACTTAACATCTTCACACACATACTTGAAGTCGAACGCCAATTTAATCTTGTAGTATGGCCATTTAATATGTAGATTTACGAATCCCTATGATCCTCTTTACATAGCTATATAGATAGATTGTTGATGTTAGTTTTCGAATAGTTTACATTGATAATTTAAAATGATGTTACAAGTTCGTTCCACTCTCATATCCTTAAAAAGAAATCCTAAATTAAAATCCATTGAGTGCCTTAGTTTACATTGGAACAGGGGGATATTTGAAGGGGTTGTTGGTTGTTTTGTGTTGGGATTTGGTTTCTGGTGGGGTTTCCCACAATAAATGTGCTCTTCTATATAGATGATTTTGTTTTGTCGTATGCTTGCTCTGATCCAGTACTACTTAGTTCAGTTTCCATTTTTTCGCTCACTAAAATTAGTTTCAGTTTCTGTCATTACTCGTATAAGTATGATTGGTTATATACCTATGTTTAGGTTACAAATAAAACTTGGTGTTTATCGATTGGTCCATACATATATACACATAGTTAAATATATATATATATCGTACGTATGTGCAAGTTGTAGGTATAATAATAAAATTGTATTTTGCTTGTTTCACTTTTTTGATTGCAGGTATTTAGAACTCTAAGGCTTAGGGTTATCAATAATCAAATATATTTCCACACACATAATAAACGAAAATTACTAATAAACCATGTGCTCTGGGGCCCCGGGCAGTTTTCTAGGGGTTCGGGGTGGGGAGGTACGCACAAATAGAGAGAACGGACTATAGAAATCGCAGTGCATGCGCCATACCAAGCAAATTTCCACGCCCTAAGATCTATTCAGATGAAAGCTTGTCGTGCCCTATATTCCAGATAACAATAACTTATCTAGCCACAACCACACACACACTCGCTCACACACAGACGCATCCACATACACTCTTTAATTACAAGAAAAGAAATTAAGAACTAATAGCAATGCTTTTGTTTTGTTTTTGTTTTTTTTTACGCCTCTACACATATAATAAATTATTCAGTTTTAAGTTTCTATTCAGATATATATGCATGAACAAGCTTTAAGCATCATATTTGTAGGTGGTAGTGGTGTGTGTTTCTTTGTTTGTGAGTGTGAGTGGCTGTGGGTGTGTGTGTGGGTGTGTGTGTGTGTGTGTACATATGTATGTAGTCTGTATGATTATTAGTAAAGCAACTAGTTTGTGTACGATGGGACAGATCGTTTGAATTTCACTTGCACTTAAGGGTTAATGTTAAACCTAGATACATATATGTATATCTATCTTAACTATTTATATATATATATATATATACAGGATGTTAAACTAAAGATTTATATGCATGTATGTAATCAGAAGGGAACAAGTTGCTTAATTAGCCACTAATTTGGCGGCATTTTGAAACACAAATAAAGCAATACTAGTCCATATAATAATAAATATGTTCTTATGGGGTGTATAACTTTATCACTTATCACTAGGCAAACAAAATTAGGAGTAACAGAAATGAAAACACGAGTAACACGCATTGGCGTCACCCCACTCGGGTGGTCAAAGTTGAGGCTAGGTCTAGGTCCAGCCAGTCACATTGCAAGCGTCTCCTTGATGATCTTCTTCATGGCATTACCCATGGAGGGTGCCGTCGAACCCGAGGTGGAGTAATCAAATTTGAACAAGTAGGGCTGCACATCCGGAAACGAGGTATCAAAAATCAGATCCAACTCGCTCTGGCTAGGAGTCTTCGGCACGTAGTCGTGTCGGTTCATCAGCTCTGTTATATAGATAACCTTCTCGGTTAGCAGATCTGAAACATTCTCGCGACAAAGCTGGCGCTCATCCTCGCTCTCGTGCTTGATCAGATCGAGATGCACTGTCCACACCTCCCAGGGTATGGACTCCTGTTGAAAGGGCCAGCGATTCTTCTTTTTTTGAAAGAACTCCAAGCTTATTTGTCCGGAGCCACAGCTCTCGTTGGAGCGCAATTTCTCGCTAAACAAATTAATGGCTCGCTTCACCTTCCGCGTGAGGCTATCTGAGGTGCAGCAGACGTATGTAAAGTCGATGAAATCGCAGTCCACATCGGTGTAGCCGACCGTGCCAATTGAATACTGGGTATCTCCTGTGTACATATACTTTCCGAGGCAGCGATGAAAGAGCACCGTGTGAAAGATGCTGGCCACGGCTTCGTCCACCTGGCGACCCTCCATGGTCAGATCGAAGACTTGCGAGCGAGCATTCATCGTTTTTGGAGGGGAGAGGGGTGATCGTCTTTGAGGATCCAATGAAGTTCGAATGTATGTATGAATAAATGCCGTGTTTTAAATGGGGAATCGATTGATGTTACTCTCTTGTGTGTTGGCTATTTACGGTGTTTGATTGTTGGTTGTTGTTATTGTTATTGTGTCTGACTTGTTACTCCTGTGTTGTTATTGTTGTTGTTTTTGTTATTGTTGTAACTGTAGTTGCGCTACAGATGTTGTTGTTTCTACTCAACACTTTATAACTTAGCTTAGATTAAGTTTTAGTTTTTTGCTGCTACTGCTGTTGGTACACGCTCATTCAATCGCTCTCTCTCTCTCTCTCTCTTCCTCTACCCTCTCGCTCTCTTTCGCTATATCCGTAACTGTAGCTCTCTCGCTCTAAACTCCTAATAGTTATTGTTTCCTTTCACACACTGTCCCAGTTAAAGTTCTTCTTGAGTACATTCTGCTTAATTATTTCATTCTAAAGTACATAGTTTGGTAGAATTTGTAATTGCAATTACGTTATGAGCAGTTCCTCTCCTCTCCTCTTCACCTTATATTCGGGTTTAGTGCGTTTCTTGTTTAGTTTCTTTGTTTCGTAATACCTTTTAACATTTTGGTTTCAGCTTGTTTTCTGTTCTCTTTTTGTTGCTGTTGTGGTTTCTGTAGTTGGTTTTCTATATCTATATATAGGCATATATATAAAGTTTATTTTTGCTTAGCATGCGACGTTCTAAATTCTAATTATTTTCCTATACTTGTATGTGAATGTTTTGCTTTTGTATTTGTTGTATTTTGAATTTAATGTTTAGATCGTACCCATGTATTTGAAGGTGCCGCACATGGTTCGGGTGGTGGCCCCCAACTTGAGCCACTTGCTGAGTCCGAAATCCGTTAGTTTAATGTGAAAGTGCTGCGTTAGCAAAATATTCTCGGGCTTTGCATCGCGATAGATAATGCCAGCGTTGTGAAGGAAGTCTGAAAGATAAGAACGCAATAAGTATAAAATTTCGCACAAACCCAAACCATTACAAACCACATCATCAAGAGCTTGAACTGATAATTGTCAAAACATTTAATCTTGTGCATTTTATTGGATAGAACTATATTTCTGAACTGGCCTCTATATTAGTGCGTATTGCCGTATATAAAAGGTGAACACCATGTATTTTGAATAATATCTAACCCACTTAATACTTCATTTTGCTCTAAACTATTATTCAGTTCTGCGATTACTTAACAGAAAAGTGTCCTATGTGCAATATAAAGCTTTCGCTGACTTATGTTTATACCATCAATTCGCTCTGGCAAAACCTATTATTAAATTGCTACCTTCATGTTATTAGACTGATTTTAACCGCACGCTCCTTTCCTTGGCCCAAGCCTTTGATAACTCACCGATAGCGAGCGCGATTTCGGCCACGTACAGCCGCACTAGATCGATGGAGAAATGGGCAATTTTGCTGAAGAGCTCGCCATTGGGCACATATTCGGACACTGAAAGAAGTTCATGAGTGGTGATTTAATAGGAGTGTACACACTGACTACCAAATGTCTACATACAGATGTGCAGGTTGTGACGATTCTGCCACAGATCAATTTGCTGGACTATAAACGGATGATGGCCACACACCTTTTGAATGTCAGCCTCGTCTTTGATTTGCTGCACGCTATTCTCTTCGATGAGCTGAGTATTGGGGCAGAGAGAGAGAGAGAGTGAGTGAGAATCCCAAATCCGAGAATTAGTTATATACATACCTTGGATTTTTTGAGGACTTTGAGAGCGTAGCTGTTTTTAGTTGGGGCGGCGGCAATTGCAGTTTTCTGCTTCGTTGTAATCGACGTTGTTGCTGGGCAGCTCTTCTTCTCCAAAACTTTGAAGACCACTCCAAAGGCACCCTTAGCTACCAATAACTCTATATCAAACTGTTCGTTGCGACTGGACTCCTTGAAGTGTGAATTAAAAATAGCATTTGTCAGCGGTCTGTGCCATTGTGTCTTCGAACGTCGCGAGCCCTGGAGCGAAGTCAGGCTGCAAAATAAAGATAAAATATAATATACATGTAGAACAGAAAAGCGATAACGGGTGACAATAGTATATGCTTTCAAAAATATTTGTGTACATATGTATGTATTTAATATCAGAATGAAAATAAAACGCGATTTTACGAAATAAACAAAAGTACCAAGTCCCGATCGGCCGATAGAAAATAATTCGTTCTTACCTCTTGCGCGTGGCCTTGTTGCGATGCCTGAACGAATTACGCGCTGTTGAGAAGCTCCAGTTCAAGCGAGCACCTCCGAGACTGCCCAAGCTCCAAGTTGATAGCTGCAGAGAGAAGAGGGAGAAGGTAGAGTGAGGATGAGAGAGTGGAGGGAAACGTGAGATGCTTTTTGAGTTGATTTTAATCTTTGGTGAGTGTATTGTTTGTTTTTTTGCTCTTTAGACCGGCTGACCATTCTGTATGAATCAGTCCTATATTATACATATACTTCTGTTTATAGGCACATATGTATGTACATACATACATATGTATGTATGTATGTATGAATATTTATTTTGTTGTTTCGTGTGTGCCAAACAAAATCGAAATCTAAACAACGATCAACTCAATTAAATGCGTATTGCTCAAACATGAGCTCGGCAAAAAGTAAAACATAAACAAATTTCAAATTCATTTATTCCACTAAATAAATTACGTTTAATTAATTAAAATGGCAGTCAAGCAAAACACGCGTTCTTCTCATATTTTTGTTTTTTTTTTTTTCTCTTGTGGCGTGTTTGGTAAAAACGTCGCAAACAGTTAACAACTCATTCTACCTGTAATCGAGAACTTGCCAGACGCACTGGCTTCGGACTATTTTATGTCTCAGGCCAATCTTTGTGCGTACACACACACACACCCACACACGTTTGTATGGAAGTACGTAGTATTTGTTGGTATGTTTGTTTGTGTATTGTGCACCTTTGTTTTAAACTGTTGCTGTTGGTGTCTTTGTCTGCCGTTTAGCTTATTTTCGTGCGACGCCAAACACACACACACGTACTTGTGATTAATTTGCGAAAATTTCGTTAATTGCTAGAAGGAAAAATGTCGCGGCGCAGACGTGCGATCTGAGAGTGAACGACGACACGTGTGAAATTGCCTGCGAATTTGTTATTTTGCAAAGCCGAGGCACAAGCAGTGGCAGAAGTAGAGGCAGCGCAGCGCAAAAGGCAGACGGGCGAGCCAACAGCAAAGAGTAAACGCTGCGTAACGGCGACCGCGATCGAACAGCTGAGCGCAACGCAACGACTAAAAGAGAGCCAACAGCGCAGCTACAGCGCTGGACGTTTAAATAGGCAACCTTAGAAGGTCAGCGCTTCTAAAATTAAATCAATTCAGTGGGTTTATAAATTCAAATAGCGAATACAATAAATTCTTTATTTAAAAATTACTTTTCCCACAATTGCAATAATAACAAGGTAAATAACTTTAAGGAACTAATAATCAAAATCTCTTGGGGTTTTTCTGAAACAGGCGTTTCGAAGAGCAGAAGCTTGACAAAAATTATACTTTGCAATTCCGTCGCTTAAGCTACAATTGTGAAATCAACCTTTCATATACTTCAGCCAAAACTTTCGAAAAAATATAGAATTGGGTTTGTGCAATTGAATAAATTTATTAACGGCAAATGCTTTTATTATGATTTTGAATTAAGTGTCTGGCACATTTTTCTGGCCGCCAGTGTATGCCGGAATATGCTGAGAAATAAGCATTTGGGCACTTGCTGATGCCCTCGTACATATTGAGTGTAATTATAGCCACGCGTTGGCGGTGTGGAGGAAAGGGCCGATGGCGTCATTTTAACCGTTAGCTCAACTGCATTGATATTGGATTGCGCTCTTGACTGCTAATTCTGCTGCCGTTGTTTTCGCTGCTCTGCTGTTGTTGTTATTGTTGGTTGATGATGACATTGCATACGGAAATTGCGTAGCGAAATTGTGGGAGAGCGCGCGCAAAAACATCAAAACAAATTTGATAACGCGCAAAAGGCATGGGCAGCACACATACATGCATACGAACACACTCACACAATTACAATTTGCGCAGCAACGCAAAAAAAAAAACAATGCGGAAATAATGTTGTCACTCATTCAGCGAAAAAAAACGAGTTGAATGTTTGAGTTGCGCGTTCCCCACTCTTATATACTCTGTACCCGGCTCAGTAATTAGTTTGGTTTTGGTATTTTAATAATATTTAAAACTTAAATTAAATAGTATGATATAAAACAATATACATATGTATATACATACATATGTATATTTGTATATTAATAACTAGACTTCAGAAGAATGTGAATGCAAGCGGACTTGGGAAAACCTGCACACAAAGTTTGATAGCTGTAACTCTTATACTTTCGCAGATACTTGAGTTTATGCCGACAAACAGATAGATAAGGTAATCTCGACTCATCTTGTCACACTGGTCAAGAATAAAAATATACATACATATGTACATATGTATGTATTCATAATTCGCGGGGTCTGCCATGGCTCTTTATGGTTGTTACATAGATTCGCACTTAACTAGCATACTGTCTTAACCTTCGGGTACAGAGTATACAAAAAGGCAATAATGAGAGCGCAAGCTTGGCAAATTGAAAGAGTGGGGCGGCAATTTATGCTAAATAAACTCAACACGTGCCTGATCGACCCACGCAGCGACCGAGTGGGCGCGAATGGCATTAAGAGAGCGAGGGCTGGATGGGGGCATAGAACTCAGCTGGGGCATTAGCAGATTTTTCTGAGATTCAGATGAGATCAAGGACAGATGTGAAAGAAGGCAAGTTCAAATCAACTTGCGCAGTAAAGGGTGCTTACAATACATTTTTGTCAATTTCGACATGAAGAAGAGAGAGAGACAGAGAGCGGCGGCGATGACGTTACCTTTTGGCCCATGTCTGTCAGATACAAAGCAGCTAAAAGAGAAAGGCACATACATACATATGTACCTACACAATTGTGTACATAAATATGTACATACATACACACGTATGTTGGGATGGATTTATTTACACATGTACCCACAATTTATCGATATAGCATTCATTATCAGCGCGCCCTAAATTCTACAATCAACAAATTTACTTCATTTATTACAAACCTGTCGCGAGCGTTGTTGTTGTGGTGCCTGGATCACGGTTGCAGCAGCTGATTGTAGTGTCTGTGCTTCAGCTGTGTTGTTGTTGTTGTAACTGCTGCTGTTGCTGCTGCTGCAAGGGGTGAGTGTTGTGGTTGTTGTAGTATTGGTGTTTGCGTTGTTGCTCGTTCTTTGTAGGGTTTTTTTGCTGCCGCCGCCACAGCCAAAGGTTATCGTAGTTGTTTGTTGTTGCTGCTGTTGTTGTTGTTGTTTTGGCTCCCCCGCCACAACTAAAGCTGACGTCGACGCTATTGCTGTTGTTGGTGTGGTGGCTGTGACTACTTCATTCAATACATGGCGATCTAATATTGTTGCTGATGCTGCACCAAAGTTTTGGTTTTGCGATGCTTTTCTTCTGTTTTCATGCCTTGTTTGCGCGTTTCCCATCAAAAGTCGTGGAGCACACAAATCAATCTTTATACACTCGCGCGCACACTAAATAAACACACACGCACACACACACACACTAGTGCAAAATCACACGCGCACACTATTTTGCACTAAAACACAAACAAAAAACCAAGTAGCTAATAAATTAACTAAAATTAAAGCGCGTTTTTTGTCCGTTGCCTTCTCTTTGTTGGTTATTGTTATAAATAAAACAAAAAATCAAACTTGTGGTCCTTCAGCTAATGTTTTTTTGCCTGCGCTTTTGTGTTGTGTGCTGCGCTCTATGCAAATGAAGGGTTGTTGATGTTACATCAAATTATCGATATATCGATATTTCCACAACTGCTATACGATATGTTCAAACGATACTTTTTTGTTAGAGCAAATACTCCAGTTCATGAGCATCCAAAACATATGCATATGCAGCATCTGAAACAAGCTAAAGAGGGTAAAAAATCGAGTATGTTATTTCTTTTTATTATTTGCCTGATGTAGCTTCATATATTGTTATTCTAATCGCAAATATTAAGCAACATGTGTTTATAAACGATTATTTTATTCCATTCTGTACAAATCCAACTCAGTTTAAAGATTTCATGAGTAACATAAATTTAAACTTTGTTGCCTCTCATATGAATTAGTTAACTGTTAATAAAGCAAATAAAATTGAAATAAAAAACAAAGCGCTGAGGTTCAAACTCCATATTTTGGTTGTTAAGTGAAATGAAACTAATAATACGGCCAAATATATGTCAGCAGTTAAAACGCCCATCTTAATACATATAAAAATTAATTTACATCAGCCTTATTGTTGATTTGTTCATTAAAATTAAAGACATCCTTCCGACCAGTAAAATATACTGTACTGTTAGTAGCTATAATATGGTTTTAAATTATGAAGAACTGTTTTTATTGTTTTCAAATTATAGAAAAAAGCCGTTAAAACCAAACCTTACATAACTGTCTTATACATCAACCAATCGCCACAAAATACGATGCCTTTTATAAGAGTCGTCGTTGTCACTGTATAAAAAAATCGCCGATATTTCGTTATCGATAATTTTCAATTCGCATTCTTATCCATTTGAGCATTTCTAGTGTAATTTACTTACTCTATGGTGGTGTGTGAACACTGTTATAAAGGCAAAGCGTCCAATATAGATATAGGCAATATATAGCGGGATATAGCGCTAATTTGCCATTTTTCCAGGGAGTATTCGCAACATAGGTACTACATTAACATGGACATCGAACTAAGCTTAGACGAGATAATCGAACGAAAGCGTGGGCGTCCCAGCGACAAAAAATTGTAAGTGAAAATGACAAATTTACGGTTAATTAGGATGACAAAAAATGGCGCTGATTTGCATGCTTCTGCATTTAACTCGGCTGCACTTTTTTCTGTTGTTGTTGCTACAGCTACTGTCGCCGTCAATTATGCATATGTGATTTATTTTCCTCGCAGCTACCTCAATAATAACAAGCCACGCAAGCTTCTGAACAAGCAAACCTTCAAGCCCACAAAACCGGCAGTAGGCCAAACATTGTCGTTACAAGCGTCGCCGGCTCCAGCGCGCAATTTCGATGCACGAAACAAGATCATTCAGAAGACGCGTGCCAAGATCACCGATGCACGGGAAGTGCTCATCAGGAATATGCGGCAGTCGGGCATCGATGCGCGCGAGGTGCTGCTCGAGCGCAAAAAGGAGCGCCAGCAGCATCATGCGGAATCGCCACCACCTCCAGTTCGTGAAGCCATCGGTCCGGGTGGCGTGCACAAAGGGCGGTTTGGACATCGTGTGATAACCATGACGAATAAGCCGGGTGGCACCATCCAAACCCTGTGGAATCCCGAAGAACCTCTACCACGTGTTCGCGTTGGTGGTGGTGTTAGTGGTGGAGGCGGAGGTATTTACAAAGCGGTGGTCGGTGCTATGCCGCCTCATCAGCCATATATGCCCAGACTGAATAAACCGGTGCAACCGTTTGCTCCACGCGGCTATGTCGACCATGATAATATGCAGGACTTGGAGGAGGGTAAGTGTGGCGTGATTATGAAAACAGCATGCATGGTATTTAACGTGTGTCCCATCCTACAGAGGAGCTAAGTCGCACGCTGCACTTTAGCAACTATAAAAGCCAACCACCGGGACCCAATGTGCGTTTCAAATTCGGAGGCGGTGGCTATGACATGGACGATGTCGAAATGGTGTCCGTAACGGGCCCGAGCATCGCCAACGATCCGTTTGCCATTTACGAACCGATACGCAATCGCAGTGAGCGATCAGCTTTGCCACCGTCACTTGCTACTCACACGGATGCGGGCGAACAGTTATTCGAGCGACGACAACGCAACCTGGTGGCTTCCGCCAACTTACCAGAATCGCTGCGTGCCCGTCTGTTTGGCAGCGAGCCGGATCGTCGTGTCTCGCATGGCATTTATGCCAACGAGAATGGGTCACAGCCAACGGGTATTAGCGTTGTTGCTGGTGGTGGCGGCAGCACAGGCGGTGGGGGACCACTAAGACGCAGTCCACCGCCACCCCCCTTGGCTGCACTCAATCATAAGCCCGGCTATCGTTTGCTGGTGAGCAATCTGCATGCTAATGTCACCACTGCGGACATACGCGAGCTGTTCAATGATATTGGACCCATGTACGATGCGCATGTGGTTCGTCCAGGCACTGCGGAGGTCATCTACAAGAGTCTGGAGCACGCCGAGAAGGCTGTCGATGCCTACCATCAGCGTGAATTTGATGGCCAGCCCATGCACTGTGTTCTGGTTAATCCGCACTCGTCAAACCGTTCGGCCAATTCGGCAAGGTGAGTCTTATCAGCAATTTTTTTTTCTTATTTTTAGAATATTAAGTCCCACGCATTTCGCCATCTCTGAACTTTAAAGTGCCTTTCCAAGACTGCCTCCATTATTATGTGTCAAGGCTGGAATGTAATATGTTTCATTTCATATTCGATATAGTGCCACGCCCATTCCCCAAAAGAAACTCAATTACTGCCGTCATGCGTATTGTAACTTATTAATCTCGAAATTCTATATTTGCAGCTCACGCACGGTCACAACGAATTCATCGGGCGTGGAAGTGGACATTGATGCGCTGCATTCGGTGCTATTTCGGGACCGCTAGGCATACGCATAACAATCCACTTGACACACTAGGCAATTATCACAGGAAACACTATCCTAAAGACATTCACAACTATACATATTTAGACACGCGCTTCTTTTTTTGTTGGAGACATCGACATTCATTTTCATCATCTATTAGTTGTAAGTCCAACGAACGGCTCGATTTATGTAAAGTTCAGTACATAAAAAAGATGTTCTATGCAAAGGCGGAAGTCGTTGAGTCAATGCGTAATTTAGAGAGAATTATGTAAAAAAATATATAAAATACGCAAGCAGCACGATTCTAAGTGTTTGATATTCTTTGTACAACCATTTAGCAGCCCTATCGAAGAATGAAAGATAAAAAGTCCTTGTGATATCATTTTGTGAGTGAGTGCACTTTTACAGTTCTTTCAGTAGCGTGGTCGATTATGCGTACCTGCTATGATATTTACATTCTTAACACTCCAAATTCTATTAGAGATGTCGTTAGTTCAAAATTGTGGTTTCAACTTTCTAAGCTGACAAGCAAATATGACTCCAAAGTAGAGAATTTTGCTTGCTTCCCCGAAAAGAGGAGCAATCAGTCGCTAATCCTATCTCTTTTAAAAATGAACAAGTAACGCTGTGAATATATTCAAAAACTATACAGTCTACCAGAAAAATGTTTTTCATGCACCACTGCTAAAGCAATTTCGTATAATATGCTTTCTGTTCTCGATTCCGGTTAAAATATAGGACACTGAAAAATTTCAGGCCACAAATCTGTAGCAGTGGGTTCACTCTTCTTCTTCTTTGTTTCTGCAATGCGCGCTTATATGATATAACGTCAAAATTCGTTTTCAGTACAGGGTACTATATACATGACTGTCGGAATATCTCGACTATAACATTCTCTTCTGTTTATTTATAGAAGAAACGCCTTTGATTCCCCTTTCCTATTTAACTAACTTATATTATAGAGCTACAAATAGTTATTAGACCATGAACCTAAAGGGAAAACCAAAGGATAATACGGTTATTAATATATGGCGTTGCTCTAACGCTAAAGAGAGATATTTTAGATACTTGGGTGGTAACAGCCAGCAGCAGCGGAAATTAAAGAAATTTCCAAGCGCTGCTTGGCAAGCAGTGTGCTGCTGGGTTATACGCGTATACTATATAGTGAATACTATATGTATTACTGTATTACTGAATAGTTGAAAAGTCCTCATCTTCGGGGGTTTTCCTGGCCATACCGTGACACAACCGTTGAAGTTCCTGTCCGATTTTGACATTTCATACATATTTCGACATTTCCTTCAGGTTCCTTCGCAGCATCAAATGTCCTTGCATAAATTCTCAAAAGTCATTGTTTCAATACCTTTCAATTGATTGTCCTGATGACTCCATTTGCCATTTCCATGTCGATGGCGAAAGAAGTGGGGAGAACATAGGCACGTATGTGTGCATTTAACCGGAATACTTTAGGTACATCCAGACACTAGTCATGTCTAGGGTTTAATGTGTAATATTTATTATTACATATTAGTTATATAAATGTACAGTAAATAATCGATATAAAATTAAGTAAAAGGAGCAGCAATTAAGTCGTCAGCAATTGAAAATGTGTGTGCAAAAAATTAAAGGGTGTCCCGCTCAGTTCTCCTCGCGAATGCCTGTGCCATAGTTGGCCCCACCGGCACGGTTCAGCGCCTCACGGAACAGCTCGATGTCCAGTTCGGTGTCGACGCCCGCCTGTAGCTCCACGGCAAAGTTCTGCCGGAAGAATTGGGGAGAAAAATAGGAAGAAGAAGAAGAATGTAAGTATGGGAGGTGTGGAGTTCTCTTATCTGCTTCCCACTCACATTTAGCACGTCCTTGATGAGGGCCTTGTCTGTGGACATTTTGGCACGCTGTATGACGCCCACCTCCTGGCCAATCCACGTCAGGAAGATGAATTTCTTGCGCTTGGACATCTCATCGCCCATTTGTATGCGTATGTAGCCGAAGGCGCGCTCCTCATCGCCGAATTGTTGGCGAAACTCCTCGAAGCACTGGCCACGCCCATGGCAAATGATGCGGGGGCCGTCGAACTTAAAGACCGCCCACTCGGTATCTGTGAGATCAGAGCGCACGTCCTCATAGGCCTCGCGTATGGCCTCCTTGTCCAGCGAAGTGGCCAGAGGCATCTGCAATGGAAATAAACAACATCAGAATCTTTCCATTTAACACAATCGGCAAATATTTTTAAGAATGCTCAGAAAAGTACATTTTCCCGATTTTAGAAAAACGCCACAAAAACTACAACGCCTTTAATATCAGACACATTTACTACGATGAAGAATTAATAAAGTAAGAAATAAATGACAGAATTTTTTTCATGGCTTCTCAAAGAAAGTCTTCACTTACCCCAGGAGGTTCTCTAGGCTATTTATTATCCTACCTATTTGACCAATCAGGCTATTATTATTATTGCTTTTAACTGAAATGTCGTTGCGAGAAATTTAATGAAATCAATCAGGGTTGTGTGCAAATTTTGGGCAGCCTTTGACTGCTACTTGAAGAGCGTAATAAATACTATATTTATATTATGTTTTATTTGATAAAGTTGTGTTTCTAAAGCAGGAAATGTAAACTTTTATTAAGTTTCAGTAATTAAATTAAGTGAATATTTGCTTGCGATAGCCTTAAAACAGTTTATTCGGAAAAAAAAGGTTTCGTGATTTCAGAAATTCGCTCGAAAGCTTACAAAATCCTCTTAAAAGTTCGATTTTTGCTTAACAAATGGATATGTGTTATTTCCATTGAAAATGAGAACAAAACATAAAAGTATATGAAGTATTTATGATGTTCAGTTCTGGCATTACGAGTGTTATTTATTTCTGTGAATTTAAGATATTTCTGTGGAATGTGGAATTTAAAATTTCATTTGTACTGTACGTATCGCTTTTCTTGATTAAAAAGGATTCACTTTGGATAGCAGTGACAGTTTTATTTATTTATTTTATTTTTTTTGACGAGTCGAGATGATAATTTGATGATTCACGAACAAGCGGAAGCATCCTTGGAAATCAATCGAGCGCCGCGAGGTCGTCACTTGGAATGACAGCCACAGCCACTCAAGTTCGTTTGCATTGTCGGATTACTGTCCGACTACTGTTCAACAGGTAGACACATCTATACGTACGTACATACATATATGTACTTATGTATATATAGTATGTATGTATGTACATACTACAAGTATATGGCATTCAACGTACGCCCATTTGTCTGTCCGTTCGTGTGTGCCGTGTTTTATGTTTCGCCTATAATTTTCATGATGTTTAATTCATAGACTGGCGCTTGCGCATTTCAGCGAACTTCGGGTTGTTCGTGCATCAGTATCTGCCAGATACTTTCGCTTTCGCGCACAACAGCAACAACAACAACAGCGCAAACAAAACACTTGCCGCAACTAAATAACACAGGCAGACAGGCCATAAACGTTTGCATTTTGTACAATTTGTTCATCAACAAACACACAAACAAACAAACAGACAGACAAACAACAAAAATTGCAGTGAAATAATTATTTCGCAAAAACCATAAACAAAACATCCAACTGTTAAGCCGTTCCCATTCCCATTCCCGTTTCCATTCCCATTTCCATTCCTATTTCTGTTGTTTCAGCTGCAACTGCTGTTGTTGTTGTTTTTGTTGTTGCTGCTGCGACCTCCTTGCAATATCAATATCGCATGGCACTTCCTCTCTCCCAAAGCTCTGCTGCTCGCTATCGAGAAATGAATTATTTCGCTATAAATAAATGTTGCATGATTTATTATTGATTACAGTATTCGTAGTATGGCCATCAACCAACCAACCATAAGTCTGTGTGCTTCCGTTTCACGCCCGGCCTTTCATGCGTGAATCAATGCAGTTACACATGCATCCAAATATGCATATGTATGCGTGTATGTACTTGTATGTGTGTGTTCATTTGTAGGTGTTTGTATTTGTGGCTAGTACCAAGGCAAGTCTATGGTTTATGCATAGTATACAACTAGATAGGTGGGTGGGTGATCTTGATGGGACCGAATGCGCGCGAATGTTTCCATTTCTACAAGTAGATTCTATTTCCAAAGTTCACAATTACCACTGAAATTAAGAAATTAACTTAATTATTTGCAACATGTGATGGTACTTTTCTGATGCCTTTTTTTCCCTTTCAAATCACAAAAGTGTTACAAGGAGCAGACTGTTAGAAATTCAAGGCAGTTTCCAACACTTCCAAGGGCGTAGGCAGCTTTTGCCAACGGGGGGGAGGGGGGCCAAAAAATTAAAATTTGTATTAAATAATGCACGATGAATTTTAAAAATAACTTTGGCATATGATCAATGAAAAAACTGCAACAAATCCACTCCAACTCCATTTTAAGGCGAAATAGTGTCGAAAATTGGCCGACTTTATATGGCAAAATTATTTGTAGTGGCGCTTGAACACTTCCCAATTCGAAAACACCTTATTAGATTCAAATTTAAATATAACCATGACTCTTATCTGTCTAAAGCCATTCCCATAGAGTTTTCCTGTGGCATAGAAAAGATGGTTGAACAAATCCAATTTTGAAAACAATGGAATTATTTCAAATAATATCCATAAATTATAAATAAATTATATAAACGGCTATTAATTATAATATCTGTAATGCTCAATATGTGGATAACGAACTAAGTGGGAAATGCGAAATGATCCAACACTTCCCAATTCGAAAACACCTTATTAGGTTCAAATTTAAATATAACCATGGCTCTTATCTGTCTAAAGGCAGTTTTTCTGTATCATAGAAATGACGGTTCAACAAATCCAATTTTGAAAACAATGGATTTATTAGGACTTCTTTAAACAATCAAATAATACCCATTATTTATTGTATTAGAGGTACAGTATGTGGATATCGAATTGAGTGGGAAATACGAGCAGCGCTTGAAATAGCCACCACATTTGTAAGCATAAGGAAGAGTCGTTCTAAACAGATCCATCAGTCTATAAATAAATAAATAAAGAACATAAGTTTTGTTTCGATGTAGTCACTACAGTCCCATGTGGGCATGATCGATCAGCCATAACGCTTTCATTATGAATAATTAAATAAATACACATACATAGACATTAATAAAGGGCAAATATTGAATTAAGAATTTGTTTAAGTGTAGCCAGCAAGGAAACAAGAACAAGACCAAGAACATGAATCCCAACTAAGACACATTTTCTGTTTCTACATATATATGTAGATATATGTATCTACGATATGAATAGTCATATCTGTGTAGGTAGGAGGGTCATACTTTATTTATTTGATGGCGCAACACTTTCAAACAGTCAAGCTATTGTCGCGTACCCCAGATAGTCCACAATTAGATGTCCCCCGAAGCCTTGTTGCGTGCAACCAATGAAGATGAATGTTTTCAAACAAATTGTTAATCTGAGCCGGCATTGATTGTGGTTGACACATGCGTCATAGGGGCGGTTGCCGGGAGAAAGATCTTTCTCTCTCTCTCTCTCTCTCTTTCTCACACACACAGACACAGATGCACACACACATTGCCCACGGCCCGGGCACACAGGCGTTCAATGACCGAGTTTGTTGATCCGCCGCTCGGCATGATGATGAGAAAAATCAATTAAAAGAGCGCAAAGCGATTTAGAAAAGTGCGTGGCACGCCAGCAACAAAATCAAAAGCCAAACAATTAAAGACAAAAAATTATTTAAGCGACTTTCACAAAAATACAACAACAAAGCAGTGGTATATAAGCAGCAAGAGGGGAGAGAAAGAAAACAGTAGAAGAGGAGTGTGAGTTGGGTTTGTTGGGTGAGAAAGCCGCTTAAAATAAGAACTAAGTCAACGACATCGCCACCCGTTCTTTTTTCCCTCACCTTTTTTTTTTGGTTGAGAATCGGTCATAGATAGCAATAAATGTATCTACAAGTATGTACGAGGTAGGTAGGTAGGTAGGTGTGAGGGTGCGGACGATTGGTGGTCAACCATTTAGCGTTGACTTCGGCCAACAAATTAATTATGCAAAATCAGAGAACTGTGCCAAGCCAAAAAAAAAGCAAGCAAAAGAAGAAATGAGAACAGAACAGAAGAACAGAGGAAAAAATGCCGGTTAGAGTAAATGCAAAAAATATACAAATACAAATAAACATGAGGTAAATAAATGGCAAGAAACCGTTGCAACAATTAAGCCATGTGCCGTTTTTTATATTGCCTGCCTGTGCCTGCGTATCTAAGGTTTATAGCTGATGTCAGCATTAGCTGATAGCGCCGATAAGAGCCAACTGCAAAATATAGTATACGTATACTCGTATATAGTAAGCGAATGAGCCAACTTATCTGACGCCCCAAATTGCAGTCCGAAACTGCTAATTGCGGTACAATATATCACATATGCTATATACTATATAGTATATAGCATATATCATATATTATCTGTTGCTGGGGAGTGGACAGAGACAGAGCGGGGAGTGGGGGCTGACATCAGTTACTCGATGTCTGCTGATCCAATTAAACGGCTTGTGGGTGCGAAAATACCGCGCAATGATTTCATTAAGTCTACAGCCGAATAAGTAGAAACAGACTCGAATATGATTTATGCTACAATTGAGTTGCTGGGTGCGTTAAATAAATAAAGCAATTAATAATGCGGGAATACGGGAATACGGGAATACGGGAAAAACCCCTGCACTTGTCGTTCTACTTACGTACGAGAGTATTGCCCATGGCCGATGAACAATTTTCCACTTCAACTGCTTCCATGAACACAAACCATACAAATTCAACAATAAAAACAAATAGGTATTGCCAGTAAATGAAGTGTTTTTCATTCGTTGCCCGAAGGGGTGGGAAGAGGGGGCGGGGGGATTTAAAGATCTAAGATTTAAAACAGTTGTAGGCAACATATGCGTAGGTTGTCATCGTTTCAGCAGAAGCTCGCCAATTGGACAGCCCAGAAATGGCACTTCCCCACATTTCATAGGCATTTCAATTCTAAAATAAGAACTGTCAGTTAGAGTCCAAAAATAATCCAGCTTGTTTACATATTTATTGATTTGATTTCGTTTTGTTATCGGCCAATGGCATTATTTTTTAAATAAACACAATTTCATTGGAATTATCTGACGACCATCATACAGCGGTCAGAATC